AAGATTTCCAGCCAATAATTATTTTATCCTATATTTTCTCTAACCAATAGTAAATGGGGCATATTTCATCATTAGTAAGGCTTCCATTTGCGGTGGCAATTATTATTTAGATCATAATCATCATTTGGTTATGTGTATAATTAAAGTCTATGTTTATTAAAATATACTGTCCTGTTTTGTCAATGTCAACCCTTTTTCTTTTCTTTTGTTTAATAGCTATTGACGAGTAAAAGAAGAAAGTTGGAAACTTTTTCCCTTCTCTCGACGGGCTTGATTGTTTTCAATGTGTAATATTTCAGATTTACCATGAATGAATTTAATAAATGTAACCAACAAAAATTCAAATAAAAAGTAAATTCTGTGTTGTTGTTAAACTTAATAATGGTTTATGGTTACTTCCTTAAAGCTGCCTGTATTTAGTATTTTCATAAATTTAAAGCTGTTGCATAAAAGTCAACTTTCCGCTTCCAAGGGTTTTAGCGTAATGTTTTATAGTTTAGGTATATTAATGTCCAGTATATCGAATACATAAAAATCATTCAAATGTGACTGATAGTTTCAAAGATTCGCACGTTTTAACAAACAAAAAAGATATTACTGTTTAAAAATCTAGTTAAATAAAATCAGTAAAAGAACGGTCAATTTATCATTCGTTAAAGGCCGCAAGCGCTTGTGACTCCTGAGTTGCCGGCGTTCATAGGCGGCGATAGTCACTTTCCATTAGGTGACCCGTATGCTCGTTTGCCCCCTCTTTTGCCCCCTTAGGCGACGAGAATTTCACCAATTGCATGTATTTCTGGTAAATTCTGTTGTTGGGAGTATAAGAAAAAGTTAAATCATAACTTACTGTATAAAAGATGAGATGACGTTAAAAATCCCACCCACCTATTTTGAATAATATTTAGAACTTTTGGCAACACTGCCCGATACGTCAAGAAAAATGTGTTAAAATTTTATTGTAACGATGTATCTCTGTCGTATTAATAATGTTACAATATTATGTATGGCGATGACTGTTTTAAATTGCATTAATAATCAGGTTTTATTACTTGTGTATAGCTTTATATCTAAAAAGAAAAAAAAACTGAAACAGGTTTATTATAGTCTATGTAAATTACCCAGCCAAGGGGATTAGACTGCAACATCTTAGATCCTTATATGCGGTAAATTTTAAATCTTGTTTTAAAACAATTCAAGTTAACCCAACATTCCATTATTGAAATTCGGCATAAACCTGCCAAACAATTATTTTAGTATATTATGGCTTTTAGTTTATTTTTCGTCGTTAAAAAAAATATTTTACTGTTTTTCTTCATTTCAATATTGGACATTGCTTCTTGATACATTTTACTGGGCACTGGCCACAATTCAGGACTCGTTAGGTTATTACTTATATTTTTACAGAATACTGATATTGGTATTCAATATTGCAATACATAACTTAATACATCTCTCATTGTTACAAGCGATGGAGTTTTAATATTTTTCAACTCTGTATATTACATGGTACACGTAGGCAACCTAGATGATTGAATTTATTTAACTTCGAATTGCTTCAAAACGAAATCACAGTACAGTGAACAAATAATTCTCCCGATTGACTGCACTACATATTGCAGGTAGAATTCGATATGAAGCCCACTTTGAGTTCACTTGTTAAACTATCGTTATAGTTGGAATTGTTCCCGGAGCGCGCTCCTGGCGGTCTTGGCGATTTAATTAAACTTGTTATTTGTACGTGTTATTTCACAATTGGGCTCCACTTCGCTTTGATTGTCTGTCGGCGTGCGAGACCTACCTTTGTCTTTTACTAATTTTCAGCTTTAACATTGTTTCCGATTGAATTTGTTCAATCCATTACACGCAAGTATACGCGTTACACATATGTCAATTTATTTTCCAATGAACGCATACTCTATTCGCCGTAGATTCATCTTTCACTGTTCAAGTTCATTACTATGTATTGTGTTTCCTCGTTAAATTCTTAGAAGTCGTGTGTACTTTATTATTAGAAAATTGATTGAACATGACACAAACAGTTTCTGAAAGACCTACTTACTAGGATAAGTTTTTGTGCGACTATTCTATCCAGATGCATGATTGACTTTATATCAGAAATTGTATCTGAGCAGCATTTCTTTTCTATATTAAAAATCCGCTGGAAACTAGAGTATTCATATTTGCTAAGAAGTATATAAAACTAGCTAGTCGACGATACTGAAATGTTCGCTCTTAACAAGTGCCGTTTAAAAAAAACTGAAAAGAGTTCGTTTGCAAATTGCACGGGTCTAATGGAAATATCAGACGGGGTCAGACGTAAGCGCGGTCAATTAGAAGTTTTAGTCTTTCTTCATTAGCGTTAAGCAAGAAAGAGACAACATTATTTATGTACAATTTCAATCTGTTCCAAATAGCATTTCGATGTAATTTTTCCTGTTTGGATTGATGGAAAGTTTAGGTAGAGGAAAAACTTCAAACGATTAGACTGTCTTGAATCTAGAATGCCTGATTGTTGTGGTTTTATCACATATTTTTTACTAAATTAATATTAATCGGCGGTTAAGGTTGAAATTTATTTAAACGTTTAAATCTAATCAGTTATATTTACGCGAAATTAAATTTTGTGTGAACCCTAAAAAAGAGTGATTTCGCATTGGCGTTCAGTTTATTCTTCTATACCTCATAAACATTCGAAGTCGAAGTCTTTTCTGTACAGCTAGCCAACATGTTTACAAAATTTCGGGATGATCGACTCAACATATTGCATTTACAATATACACGGTATTACTGCATAACACTTCACGCTTCTCTGTTTGTTACTTCCTCTGTGTCACTGCTGAACTATCTGCAATATTGGGAGCCCTCGAGTAAGTTGTGACTCGCTTGCTACGTCATGCGTACGTTAGAGGGTATGTTCAGATGGCGGAGTTTGTACGCGTTAAACACTTCTATCACGTGCATAATTTGAACAAAATTGTAAATGCATTTGAATATATCCAAATACACGAATACCCGATCGTCAAATTATATCTTTGATCTTGAGTACATTTGGCGATCTTCTGATCTGACAAAAGAAATACATTGATATAAAACTCGACATTATACTTATCTCACGCGAACTGATGGCAACACTGCCACGAATAGGTGTTTGATGTAGGTGTTCTATGTTCAATCTTTTCCAGTAATTTGGCATTTAATAAAGCATCCGAAAGTCACTATTTACTAGTCTCCAATAAAGAATCCATTTGGGACTTGTGCGGTTCTTGGTGCCCAAATAAGCAGCAGTTTAATAAAGAGCTAGAACTCATGTACTGAACTGGAAAAGATGCCACTTTAATAGTTCTAAATACTTTTTTCTAACCAAATATCTAGTTGATTGTACTTAATTAAAATAGTTAAAATTAATATTTGGTTCAAAAGCTATTTTTAAATAAGAGGTAATTTGAGTTTGAAATATGTTAATAAGTAAATTCTTCTATTTGAACTATAATAAAATACTAGCAATTAAAAATATTTTATCTACAAAAACCTTTTTAAGTCAGTAATTCACTAAACCAGGTATTTTATTAGTTGACTCTATGATTTGTAGTCAACATAGAGTTGAGTGTTTAGCCACCGCTCTCTACTCTCAAGATTGATGTAGCGCCGCTACTGCCGGACCAGTACGGCTGTCGCACGATAAATTAAAACCAACTCACATTAGAAGCCGTATATTAAAACTCACTAACATCCTGCTCATTCCTAAGCCGGGGTTCAGTGCGAGAACAAGATAGAAATACTGACAATACTACAGGACCGCTTTTTTTGTTATTCCTCTACCAAGCTAACCGTTAACAGTAACTTTGTTCCTATAATGACGGTCTAAGTAAAGATGTCCCATCCACAATGGACGGAGAAACTTTGTTTAGTAGCTGACTCATAGAGAAGTTAAGGACTTCGAAACCTCATTATTCGCTACTGAAATTTTCGTATAAATCATTTTAAGTGCGGGGTATTTTTAAGAGGCAATTATTGAAAATCGTAAATTGTCACCGTTCGAGCAAGTCTCGCAACCTCATTAAAACACCATGGAAACAAGTATTTCTTACTTATTTAGGTTAAAAATTATGTGTAGCTACAAGTATGCCGTGTAGCGATCTGACCAGATTACTTGGTCGACCATCGCGTATCTGCAATCGGTAAATGGTTGCTTTAAGTCTCGATATGCGAAGTATTCCCCATGGAATGTCACCGTCGCCATGCAACACTTATATGTGCTCGACGGACTGAATTTTTTCTTATCGCAAATACATTTTGTGCAAGTTTGCAATACGTGGACGTGGCCCCGCAACTAAACACAGCAACGGCTTGTCGCCAGTTTCTTTTGACTTAACCCCGTCCGCTTACCAGTCATCGGCTAATTAATTTCTTGGTATTTTCTGAGAATTTCAACCATTCTTATTTATTATAAAGGTTATAATACATTTTTTACTTCGTTGATATAAAACCTGTTGGTTTGATTTAAATATCTAGGTATTCGGTATGCGTATGCCAAATTTCATGGCGCATGACCGGCCTGGAAGTGTAATATATACCGAACTATTTAGTTTTTACAATGTGAAGATGTTACCAGTCCAGGCGAATGGTTATTAAGGGGCGGGCGGTAATAACCCGGCCGGCTCTCGTAATCCATCACGGGCGCTGCAATCGTCCCGCTGTCAGTCTATTCCGGGATGCTCCGTTTTCGCTAATGATTCCTCGCCGCCGTGAGATCACGCGACATTTACAAAGGCCGATTGCGCAGAGACGACGACGATTTGTATCACAAAACGCTACTTCGTCTGCGTCTTACGGCGATGTTTTTATTTTCACCGCACATAGTTGCAGTTTTAACAAAGCTAACTTTATGCGTTTCGCACAAAGCGCTACCCACATATGCGGCATCGCGTTCCAAACGAGAGAGTTTATAATTTATTTGTGTCGCAGTTTTCTGGCGACGATTTTCCCACAGGGGCGGCGTCTCAAACGAGCCGCGCCCGCCCTTTATGTGGTTTTTTGTAGCGGCACAAAATGCCCGGTGAAAAACATTCAGTGATAACTGGTAACAATCGCAGCCGCCCGGATGCTCCCTCCATTCCGCGCATACCTCGCTGGACCTCGACTGATGCTTTTTCATCTAGCACCGCTCGACGACCCCGCTCGCTGTCCGAATGCTCTTGACACTTGCTACAACTGCATATGAATCGCGATATGACCAACATGTTGTGTGACAGTAAAAATACACTACAAATGAAAATCTTTTTGTTAACCTATTTACTTACAGATAATTATGTTACCAATATCCTACACAAGGGTTATTTATTTTGTAGGAGGTCTACGAAGAAGTCTTAGGTGACATAAAATGAATTCACAATTACGTACATTTCCATTATGAAAACAGATTAAATCTGCCTTTTGCAAAATTATAACCAGAAGCTATTCATTTGCAGTTCTCTTTAATATATCTAGTACTTGATAAAACAGTGCGAAACTAATGAATTAATATAAACATGAACTAATGGTAGTCTAATACCAAGAGCGTTCGGTGTCGGCGCGGCAGTTCATTAGTAGAGGCGCGCTTCAGTCTCGCGTATTTCATTGTTCCATTGTTTTATTTGCCTCTGTCCGGTGCTTACTGAGAGATATACTGCCTGAGTACAGCTACAGCTCTGACACCTGTAACCACTACTATCTTTTTGTATTTTTCAAAAGCCTTTAATCGCTTTCACATCATCGTTAGAAATGCTCTGTAAATTTGCAGTAATAATTTATTCCACAAAATTCATAGAATCGTAACGTTTCATGCCTCGCTCTAGTACAAGTTTCTATTAATGCCCTATTGTTTTTAAATCGCCTCTCGAGATTTAATACCGCGATAAGTTTATGTTAAAAGCATAAAGTTAAGTAAGTCGGTAAGGTTGCTGCCGGTAGTTTTTCTCAACCAAAAAGCGTAGCCGTCCGATTTGAAACCCGATTTCTTTTATCTTTCCGTTCGATCGCCATCCGACTGACATTACTGCGTTGTTCAGAGTTAAAGATGTCGATTTTTCAAACCATAAACTAACTTTATTGATATGCGTCTGTAAATAAAAAAATCATCCGCCTACTTGATTCATTAAGATCTTCATATGTAGTTGTATTTCAAGACGTACAAGATACCAGCTTTGGCAAAAATAATGACGTAATTTTAATTTCTTCCTTTCACAATTTATATATAAGCACAGACGTATAATCAACCACATGAAAAGTTTTATTGAATTATTAAATTATTATTAATTTGATTCATTCATTCATTCATGATCATTGAATGATTAAATTTGAGATTAAAGAAAGTTAATCTCTTAATTTATAGCGTTTTCGGTGTAGCGACTAGACGATAATAATTAGTGGTTATTTTTTAATGTTTTCAAGTATTGAACGAAGGCGGGCTTAGTTAGTGTGGTGGCTCAGACATCTCACGCTACCAGCTAGATGTATCGCTGTTCCAGTTACTTGACTATAAATCTTATGTTAAGCGACGCGGTGACTTGTATAATTAACTAAAGCAGCATTATACGCGATTTCCAAACTAAACGAAACAACGCAGATCGTTTGTCACGACACAAATTACTATTTATGAAGATTATCCATACTTAGAGTGTAAATCGTTACGAATGTATTATAATATCTCGTTTCAATGTATTGTTTGAACCCTCGACGTGTACTGTGTGCGTGACATAGTTTACGCTGGCCATTGACAAATGTACTTTTTCCTTATCCTATAGATTTTATTAAACATTTCTATCTAAAATATCTTAAGCTATGTTATGCCTATTGTTGAAAGCATTGTTGATAAACTAAATTCATTGAAATCTGAAAATTCCTTTTATCTGCACAATATATACTATCCACCGCAAACAGTGAAGCCCATAAATAAGCTAATGCTATTTAGCTAACAATCGAGCTCCGATGGGCATTTGGTCAGATTCCGAGGCAGGCAGCCGTGGCAGCCACGTGTGCTCGCCTCCGCATGCCTCGTCTCGAATATGCAACCCTTGCAACATGAATATTGGCCCGTATGCCGAATATTCCATGCACATTGGACGCAAATAATGCCGAGGATAATGTCACACGGGTCAGGGTAAATCAATAAAATTGTCGAATACAATTTCATGTTATGGTAGATGGAAGGTTGTTGATTATTTTATTATTGGTAACCAAACGGTGCTCTTCTTGGTCAACAAAAGACCCAAAAAATTGTCTTATGGATAATGGATATGTGAAAACGTAATAGCTTTTGTATTTGATTTCTCTACTCATAAAGTAGCAACTGTTTTTGGTCGGCAAAACATTGTCAATTGATTGATTTGATTGACAATTTACTGTCGGTAAAAAATATGACAGTAAGTAAGAAGTGTCGTTAGATTATATACGGTTGCTGTTAGAATCTGTCAGACATTGAAAATATTTTAGTTGATGTTTTTTTCTATTATGACTTTGAAACTAATATAACTCTCCTTATATGAAATTACCAAATGATGGACTCATTAACACTAACCGTAACACTGCATTATTTGACCTTTAAGTTATTAACCATAATGTAAAGAATAACATGCGTCTGCCATACAAATTTTCTACATGTAATTCTTCGGTTAATTTACCTACACTGTGCGTAAATTGTTGAAGGATTTTACTACTACCTTATATATTATATTATATATTATATATACCTTATATATTATATTATATATTATATATACCTTATATATTATTATATATATTTCAGAATTGTGTACGACAATTAGCAATCAAACAAGCTTTAAAATCGAGTGATACGCAACGCTAAATTGATGGGACGATTGAAAAAAACTTCTTAAATGGTTTATCTTTGAAAATATAATGAGATGGTTTACACCATATTACTTTATTTGTTTATGCGGAATTTGACACAGCACTCCAAGCGAATACATACATTGAATTATTTATAAGAGTTCACGGTCACAGTTAAGGCTGAAGTGGAGCAAGGTACGCGGTGTCTGTGTTATGAGTCTCTAATTATGACACGATGCAACTGCATATTGTATGAACATCTTGGAGCAATATTTTATTACGGACTGCTACATACTTACTGCTGGAAGCATAACTATTTAACGTTCCGCCATTAGTTTGTGTACGTAACGATGCGTTTTATTGTGAAACATAACACACAAAGGGAATCTACCTAAACACCAATTAACAGACTCCTGTATAAATGTCCATATGTATTGTCCATATGTATTATTGTAATATTGTACTTTGCCAGTCTTATCTACAAAAATGAACATAATATCTATAACAAATTGTAAACGTAAATATGCTTGTAGAGACAGTAGTTCCGCGATTGTACCTATTTACAGCACGCACGGCTGTTGATATTGAATACATTCTGCGGTCTATATCATTCGTGATCTCTGTAATTAACTAGGCTACTTATTACTGAACCAATTATCTGATGTACACACATCTACATATATATAGATTGTCCGAACAAATATCTCCGTTGAAACCAAATGAATTTTTTTGGGAAATACTATCTTATGATGAAAGAAGCTAGAAACTTAAATTTTAAAAATAGTTAGATTTTTTTTTATATTACTGGCTGTCAAAAACTGAAACTGAAATTGAATGTCATTTGATGAATAAGTTTGCCTGACTAAAGAAAATGAAAGTTACACAAAGATGATGTACTTATAACACTAAAGCGAAAGCTACATTCATAAATTTATTCCTGCTAATCTTCATGACATTGTTACGATAAAAACTATCATAAATATTCTAAAATATCCTTAAATTGCAAAAAACGCAATGGGCGTGAGAGATGTATCCTCAAAACCTGTCAATCTCCTTCATTATGACATTATGAATGACTATTATTATATTAATTTACTTGCTCTGTACAATCGATTCAATGTTTTTTTTATAATTAGTTAAATATGGCAAACTTTCATAATTATAAAGTTTTGGTATGTGAAGTGAGTACACAGAGTTTGAACTTTAAATTTACAAATTATTTCGCCCTTTGCTATAAACTGTAGTTGTAGTGGTAGTGTATATTTAGTAAGGTGTCACTATGGTGTGTTCTTTGGTACTTTTTTGACTAAGAGAATAGGAACAACTATCACTATAAATAAGTGTAAATCTGAGTGATTTGACCAAAGTATAAACCTTTAATAAAAACTATTGTTTTCCTTCTGTGATTTTAATAATCATAATATTTTAATTATCTCTATCTGATAAATGTCGACTAAATTTAATGTTAATCATACCCGATAATTGAAATACAATTTCAAATGAAATACAATTCTGTTACGTATCTCGATACCTTGTAGATTAAATACTCGTAGCTTTCTGGAATTGGGAAATTGTTTTTTTCCATTCAAGCTTTATATGATGTTTTATTCTTTTCGGTTTTATTAAAACTACGTGTCGGCATGTCAAGCTGCTGCTGCTGATTAAAGAATACCCTGGTTCCTCTATTTTACTACTCTCGGAACATTCTCTTAAATAAGAGCTTCATCAAAATGACACACCCGTCAAATCGCGAGGAAGGTGCCTTGTCCCGTCCCGGCTGTTCATTGACGCCCGTAACAGCTGGTCACAACGAAACATGAGCCTGTATGTCATTTTAAAACCTTCCGAAATTGTTTTATTTACCTCTCATTTCAATACTGTGTTTGTGGTCTGCTTTATTTTACTTTACGTTACTTCTATTCGTTTTAGGTAAGTGACAAATGGAAAGATTACCGCGGTGATCTGTTGACACGATGCATCCAGCAGGCTACTACGCTAATCTTGGTAAGATTGTTCAAAATTACGACACATATTTATTATCTTCATTCATTATCGAACAATTGGCTTCGCAACAGGAAAGCGAGAGCCTTATAAATGTTTCATGAATGCTAAACGTAGCCTATACGTCGAATATAATATTTCTATTTAAATAACAATCAAAACATTGTTGCATGAATGTTTATTCCGTGACTTAACGGGTTTTGCTGCATTATAAATGGGTTGCTCTTATACATTTTTATTTTCAACTGTTATAACATTATTGATGATAAATAAATGATAGATAAATGTAGGCTGATGTCAGATTATTGGCGCTACTCGATAAAAATGATAACGAATGTAGTAGATGGCGAGCGCGGATATCAGTTAAACCAAATCAATTTAATAAACAATGTTTTTATGATGTCATTAAAGG